GTGTGTGTGTGTGTGTGTGTGTGTGTGTGTGTGTGTGTGTGTGTGTGCAGGGCATAACCACTGAGCCACAGCTTCTGGTCACAGGAAGGAGCCAGGAAGTCACCTGACTTCCCCACTGAATGGGCTTTCCCTAGTCGGTGTTGGAAAGTGAGTGACCCTCTAATTAACTGTTCTCACCATTTGGGACTAAAGCCTGATCCACAGGCTTGTGGTGGGCAGTTCAGCTCTGCTGAAAGCCCAGTAAATTCTCCGTTCTTCCCTCCATCTCCCACCCCCACGAGCCGGAAGAGCTGGGAAGGCCACAGTGGGGTGGATGGGTGGCAGAGAGAACCCGGCCGTTAGAGCAGGAAGGGGCCCCCAGACACTGAATGGAGATTTCATGGACGGAAAGGATCCTGGGAGGTCATGAAGACCCAGCTCACTTTACAGGTGCAGGCCCTGAGATCACCCAGGCGGCCAATGACTGAGTGGGACAGGATTCAATCCCAGATCCTCTGATCCGGAAAAACAGGTCCTACTCCCCGGCAGCCTGTGCTCCCGTGCCAACTGTATTTCATTATAACTGGCTGCCTTTGTAATCCTGGGTATTTTTTTTTTTTAACATTTATAAATGTAATTTTGAGACAGGGTCCAGGCTGCCCGAAGGAGCCATGACACAAAAAAGATGAAACCCTCTCCTAGAGGCATAGGGAGCCACTGGATCTTCTTGAGCTGGGGTGTGATGTGGTCAGGCCCAAGCTCTAGGAACGCTAATTTGGCAGGAACGGCAAGAACGGACTGGTGAGAAGTGAAACTTCAGGAGAGGTGACGAGCACCTAAATGAAGGTGGTGGATGAGACACGCCGTTAACAGTCACTAAGACCCAGCACCTGAGCGGAGGGAGGAGGGAATGAAGAGTGGGAAGGACTCCTGGGGCATGAGTCTCGGTCACTAAATTGAGACTTGTTCCTTCAGGAGAGCTGGGGAGGCCAGCCTGGAGCGCCTGGAGCTGACCAAGAATGGCGCTATCAGCAGCTCTCAGAGTATTTCTATTTGATGTCAATACGCATCCTGCACTTTAGACCGATGGCCACAAAAGCTGGAGCCTTGGCATCCATCCCCTGGCTGGAGGCAGAGGAACCCACCTTTGGACAGAGTTCAGGGTCAGCCAAGGATTTCAACACTTCTACTGGGCTAGGGAGTCTAAGAGCAAGTAGGGAGGTGCGTTCGTGCACGTCAAAGAGATCTGAGTCACCGTCAGCAGAGCTGAGCTTTAATTATGGGGACGACACTGAGCAGCTTCAGGGAAGCCGGGTCAATGCTTCTGGGAGGTCCAGGTGGTTTCTTTACCTGGGATCAGTGAACCACCGGTCTGAGGGTGGGAAGGGACCGCAGGATTGGCTAGTCCATCCCCAACAAGATGGTGGCAGTCAATTCGCTTCCATTTAAAGAGACCTACCTTGTCTTGACCCGCCTTGTGTTTTCCCACGGAAAGCACGCCGGAATAGCAAATATAACAGGTAAGCAGTGTGCGCTAACTGGATGAGGACGACACAGTTGCAGGGAGTTTAATTTCAAGCTTGACTTTTGAAAGGACTTGGAAGAACCTAATCTTGGTATAAGTCGCATATGCTAATTAGCCGGAAACTTTGGCACAGGAATTTGACCCCAAGGCCCAAAGAAGGAGATTTGATCACAGAAACTCAGGAGTTAGAAGGGCCTGGAAGTGCAAGACTCCCCTCTTCACCCTACCCCAGAAAGGGTCAATATCCAACCTTTGCTCAGGTGCTTCATGGAACCTATTTCCCAGGCTTCCTTCAAGGCCCAGCTAAAATCCCACCTTCGACAAGAGGCCTTCCCTCTGAGGTTATCTCCAGTTTATCCCATGTATACCTTATTTGTACATGATTATTGGTGGATTCTCTCTCCCATTAGACCTCAAGAGCAAGGACTCTTTTGCCTTTCTTTGTGTCCCCAGGGCCTACATAGTATATAAGTGCCTGGTATACAGTAGGTGCTTAAAATAAAAGAGGCCTGGCACCAGGTTAGCAGCAAGGTAAAGAACTTCTATCTTTAAGATCATGAACCAAATTTTGGAAATATTTCTTTTCTTGGTATTCCCCTAGGGCACGACATCCAGCAGGTGCTTAATAAATGCTTATCGACAATTTGACTTGATTGAGGGGTTGTGCTATGTGCTGATGGGACACTTCTGGAAGATGCCCTGAGATGCAGAAGGAAGTGCTCTTGAGCACCTCTGCTGGACCCCTCTGGCCATCTCTGGTGAAGCCTCTAGTTCCCCTTTGGAATGCCTAAGATAAACTACATGGATGACAAAAGAATCCAATTATATGGAAGGACAGTTCACCATGTTTTTCAAAACAATTTCCCAGACTGCAGGTTAAGAACCTCTGCCTTAAAGCCCTGAAATGCAGGACAACCCTGGAGGGCTCAAGGGCCAAAAAGTAGGGAAGCAGTGAGTCAGCCTGGAGGCTTCATTAAGATGCAGATTCCTGAAGAGTCTGGCCCACTTGCATTGATATCACCAATACCGCAGGCTCACTGAGGACCTCACCCACCCAACCCGGGGCTTACAAAATTTGCTACTTGGACTGGGAAAACAAAACAAAACAGGTCAAGCCTAATTCACTACATTTCTCCTGGAAGAGTTGGCAAATAGGTAGATCTGGGGAATGCTGCAGTAATAGCCAGCTTGCCTACCTGGATTTCAGCCAGGACAAGCACAGAGACGTGTTGAGTGAAATAGTAGAAAATTTGGGTAGATGGGTAACTGATTAACTGGCAGGACCTTAGGAGTTATCATCAAGAGCCTGGCGCCACATTTCAGGAGCAGTCTAGAGTGCAATGCCCTAGGGATCCGCCCTTGACCCGCCATGGTACTTTTATCAAGAACCTGGACCGAAACACAGACAGGATAAATGTAATCCTACGTTTGGGTTTAAACTAACATCTTCCTAATGACAAGATGGGAGGCGCCACGGCTAGGAAGCGATTTGGCTGGCAAAATTCTAGCAGTGGGAGTGGATGACAAGGTCACTGAGTCCAGGGAGAAGGACGGCAGCTACAAGACCACTAATGATGAGGGGAATGGCGGACACTGCTGCACTCCACCGCAGTCAGACCATACCAGGAATGTCCTGACCCATTCTCAGAGCCCACCTTAGTTTGGGAGGATGTTCTAGAGGGCCCAGAGAAAAGGTAGCCAGGAAGAAGGCAGCCTGGGACTTCCTGCTGTATGTAGAGGGGCTTTAAGAACCGGGCTTGTGGGGCAGCTGGGTGGCACAGTGGATAGAGCACCGGCCCTGGATTCAGGAGCTGAGTTCATATTCAGCCTCAGACACATAACTCTTACTAGCTGTGTGACCCTATGCAAGTCACTTAACCCCATTGCCTAGCCAAAAAAAAAAAGAAAGAAGGAACCAGGCTTGTTTGGTGCAGATCAGGGAAGACTCGGGGCAGCAGGTGGCAAGCTGGGGTCCCACAGGGCACAGCCAAGAGCAATGGAGGGTGGAAGCTTCAGAGCACAGATCTAGCCTAATGGTAGGGAAAATTATTCTAAGAACCAGAGCTGTTCAAAAGTGAAATGGATTTTCCCATGACGTAACACAAACACAATGAATCAAGTGCTGGCCTTGGAAGGAGAGAGATCTGAGTTCAAATCCAGCCTCACACACTCACTAGCTGTGTGACCCTGGGCAAGTCACTTCACTGCTGCCTGCCTCAGTTTCCTCAACTGTAAAATGGGGATAATAGCAGCTTCCACCTCCCAGGGTTGGAAGGATCAAATGTAACACAGTGACTAGCATATAGTAAGTGTTTAATAAATGCTTTTTCTCTTCCCATTCCCTTCCCACTTTGGGTCGTGACCTCCTGTTGGGAATTCGGTAGGTCACACTTGGCTTAGACAGTCTCTCTCGACTGAGATTTACAAAATTCCAGGCATTTGCTGAACTGTGGTGGAGAGGATTGGCACAAACCCCTGACCCCTCAGGACCGAGGTTGTAGCCTCGCCCATCCCCCAGCACTGATCCTGAGAAGATGACCCCCATGCTGAGGCTCTGCAGGAGGGTGGGGCCCACTCCCATCATTCGGGGCCCTCGGGGGGGGGCTCTGATCACAATACACATGAAACACTTAACTGACAAGGCTTCTGCTTGCCTTACTGGCATTTATGAACATTCAGGGCCCAGGAAGGTGGCAGTGAAGCCTTTTCCTCCCAACAAACTCCCCATCCTGAGTGAGGGTAGAAGTGTGCCCTGAGAGCCGCCAAGGAGGGGGCATTATGGGACCACAGAAAAGGGAACCCAAGTAACCTCGGAGGCTGCCCAGACCCCCCCCCCAAGCTGGCTCTCCAGACGTTGGTGGAGAGCAGCTGAGCCTGGAGCCAGGCCCTTGGCCAAATCCAAGGCTTCACCTCTACCAAGGAAGCAGTTTGATTTTAAAGAGAGAAGCGGGGGCACCCATCCTGAAGCATCAACCCCTGACCCAAAGGAGCAGGCCCCATGCGAGGCCCAGAGCTGTGGCGCTGGGCAGACGCAGGGGACGGGCTGGTTCACACACTCGCTGCAGACCCAAGCCCCTCTCCAGCCACTGGACAGACCATCCCGGAGACAGCACTGTGCCTGTCACATAGCAGGGGCTCATAAACACCTGACCAGGGGGTGAGTGAAGGTCTCGGGTCCTCACATCCAAGCAGCACTGGGCCCACCAGGCTCTCCTGCCTGGTGGACGGCACAGCCCGCCGACTGGGGGGGGGGGTTAAAGGTTAAAAACCCGCCAGACTGCTGACTTCAGGCCATCCAGGCGTTGCCTGGCCTGGCCCTCAAGCCACCAGAGAAGGTCTGGCTGGGTCCCATTTCTCCCACCCCATGCCATTAGCTCTCCGTGACAAGTGGGCTGTCGTGGGCCTCAGCTGCATACCACACGCGGGAGGGCTGCAGGACCTTACACATCCCTTCCCTTTACAGATGAGCAAACAGAGGCCCCGGAGCGGGCCTTCTGAACCTAACGGGCTGCTCTGGTCACTACGGCCACTTTTCTTCACCTGTGAAATGAAGGGATTGGACCCAATAATCTGGAAGCCCCAACCCTAACATTCTTTAGCTCTGAGCGCAGAGCCTCAGTGGTGATGGGACAGTCTGCCAGGCAGGACCCAAATATAACCGGCACGTGAACATTCTGCTTGGGTCTAGGCCAGAACATCATCCGTGGATTCTTCGGGAATGGAAGCTCTGTTTACTGATGCATACAGGGAGTGGCCTGGGGCACTGAAGGGTTAAGTTACTGGGCCATGACCACTTGGTTATGGTGGATCAAAGGCAGTAGTAGAACCCAGGTCTTCCCCACTTCAGGATGGCCATCTCTCCATTCCTCAACTCGGTCTATTTAGTGTTTCTTGAGAGTGGCTGAAAAACAAGGGTGATGGGCATATGCCTTGCACCATTGAAAAACGAGAAGCCCAGTGGTCAGCCCCCAGAGCGGCCAGCCCTCCAGAGCACTGTTCTAGGAAGGTCCTGCCACGCCCTTCACTGAGGGACCCCCTGAGCTCAGCATCTTCTTCCACAGCCAGCTCAAGGTGTCCCCTCAGCACCCTCTGGTGTTACCGTCAGTTCTTGGGCTTTGGGGGCTGTGCAGGGCTGAGGTATTCAAGTTTCAGAGTTGAAGTGAGGGGTCTCTGGGCAGTCGGGCTTTGGGTGACTCTGGACCCAACCTCTCTGGCTCCTGATAACCCAGGCTTACTGTCCCTGACCTTGTGAGGCAACTGCACAACGGGCGGGATCCCTCGGGATGCCAGAGGTGGCCTGGGTCCTGGGAAAGACCCAGAGCAGGACCGCGTGTGCAGCGGTCCAGAAGCCCCCCATCAAGAAGGATTGTGGACGTCTGCCAGGCCCCTGGCCCCAACTTGTCAAAGGGAATCCAGATGGCCACGTGGCTCAATCCAGAGGCTGCTCTCCCTGTGACAGGATTTATGCCCGAGTGGCTTATTCCAATCCTGCACTATGGGAGAAGGTTCTGAGGCCTCATCCTCCAGGCTACAGGTCTGAACCCTCGACGCCCCAGGCTCAAAGGGACCGCCTGCCACAGCTTTCGAAGAACTAATACAAGAGACCACGCAGCGGGTGGAGAAAGTCTCAGTGATCAGGGACCCCTTTATTACACGTTTACAAAATTAGAGTGTAGCACAGTGCTCATCAACATGAGATGAAATTCCTTGTTTTTGGTGTCTTGCGTCATGTGACGGATCATCCGTCGCATGTTTATAACTAACGCTTTACAACTGGCTTTGTTCTCCATCATCTTCTCCACACAAACCTCTCGACCCCACACTTGAAATCTAAGTGATACATGGTAAATTCTCTTATCCAGCATGAGGTATTCTAATTAATCAAATATTCCAGTTAACAGAAAAAGATCAAGCAACCCATGAATGTAGGGCGCTGATTTGCAGAAAACAGTGCATGTAATTTACCCTTCGATATTTGGGAAGGTGCTTCAGCACCGGGCAGTGCCATACTTAGGGTCTAACGATCGCAGTAATTGTCAAGGCATGAAAGAAGCTAAAAAAACCTGGGCCTAACAGAACTCTGGATAACAGAGAATTTGCTACACAAATAATCCACTTAAGATCAAAGCAGACTCCAGAGATATTTGGAAATCTTCCTGTGTGTCCACACTTGCCCAAGTGCACAATTCATAACAATGCTCTAAGAATATTAAAAAAAAATTAAAGTTACAAAAGGAAATCTTTTAGCACAATATTTAACATCCTGTAATTTTACATTTCTCCTTATTTTAGACTTATGCAAAGCCATTTAAATTCTCTTCAGTAAATTGTACTTGCCCATAATCAAAGAAAACATAACTTGAAACCATTAAAAAAATTCATTGTTTTGCCACAGAAAAAAGTTGCACTGAATGAAACAAAGTCCGAAGAACCACACTTTAATGGGGAATTTGTGTTAAATGGCACTGAAGATTTCAAACAAGCTCATGTGGGAAAAACTGGCTAATCCCCTTTGCTTACGTTAAGCTAAGATTCAAAGCAACATCCCCAGCATGGTGCCAAAACTACAGAGGCTCAGAAGGCCACACTGACAGACACAACAGCTTGGTTCTGTCCACGGATCGCAGGGCAGGTGGTTACATCTGGCCATCCTAACAATGCGTAACGGGGCCACATCTGGTTACATGGGTTTGTAAGGTGGCTGAATCCTTTCACCCAACTGCTGACTTCTCTCTGCTCAACCAACAACAGCTAAAACCACAGAGAAATTCAACTGGAAAACAATGGATGTGGTGTGCCCTGAAGACAGACCTTGAAACTTAATTTCTCTCTACAGAATTTGGTGCCATTTGATTCAGTGGCTGGATTAAAAAAAAAAAGGTTCTGTATTCAAATCTCTCCAAAAGAAAGTCAATATAAAATGTGTGACACCACACGCACACGCACACACACACTCACACCGCGCGCGCACACACACACACACACACACACTCACACCTATATACAGGCACAAGCACTTCATCTGTCCCCTTCTTTCCCAGTGACCCAAGAGGCTGCCCCTGGGAGCCAGAGGGACCCAAGACAAGCACCCTTTCCCTCTCAGGGGGAGCTCAACGGTTCCTCATGACCTTGGGCAGAGGTCCCATCATTCACAGAGCTGGCTGTGTTCACTCAGACCAAGCCCACTCCCTCCTCCCCGCTTCCCTCCGCTCAGTGACAAGGGGACACGCCGCGGGAACCATACAGACAAAGGACTTTACTCTTAGTCTAAACAAACGTGGGTCAGAACATTCTGAAAAGCGGCATCCTTGGATTTCTTCATCTTCTCAATTGCTCGGTGCAGGTCCTGCTGTTGTACTGGCCGAATTTCATCTTCATCACGGCTAAAATCCAAACAAAAACCCAAAACATTCAGGCTGGGACTTAAGGGTGCTCCCAAGGAGATGTCCTCCATGCACCGTGGGCTAAGAGCTTCTGGGAGGCAGGAGACCCAACTGAGGCTGCCCATTCTACTCCCACAGGACAAGTCTGCCCTACCACAACGTTAGAAAGTTAATTCACCCAAATGGAAATAAAATTCTAACCGACAAGTCAAAAACATTGTTCCCATGAAGATCTGCCTGAATTTTAAAACATGCTGATTAAATTGAAAAGAACCCAGAATTCTGGGTATGGATTTCACTACACATCATTTGTGGTGGTTTTCATTTTCCTTTTGTAGTTTGACCAAGGACAAATCTTAACGAGTAGTTAAAGCTATTGCTTAGAGTACAAGGCTTCTCTCTTGTTCATGATTTAATGCTGAGAAAAGTGCAACCTCGTACAATATCGAGTCTCCCCTAGGATATGAGTTACAAAGACACGAAGTCCACACTGAAGCGGCTAAGCTTTCAGCTACTCAGCACAATTACCCGATTAATCCAGCAAGAAATAAATGGCGCTAATGCCGCCACTCCTGGCGTCCTCAGCAGTTAGGTCGGTGGTGCCCAAGCTGGTGTGTGCTAAACTACTGTCTGGAGCAGTGGGCAGCTTTCCTGAACATTCTCAGCTTTGGGAGATCAGGAAGCAAGTTTAAGTGACTGCATACGGGCAGCAAATTGGGATCAGCTGGAATGAGCCCCAGATACGGGGAGTCACTCTAACAGCCTTCCTGCAGGACCACAATAAGCCTGCAGAGCCCCAGAAATTCTCCTCGGAAGGGCTTGCCACGGGGCTGGACTCCACCAGCAGGCCAGGAACAGGCAGCTCACCAGGGCCAAGCTCGGGGGACTGCCCCGATGAGCTCTGCACAAACTCGTCGTCACACTGAGTCTGCTACTGTGATGAGCTGAGGTACGTGTGGCAGTGAATCCTTTTCACCCCGACCCTAGCATACCCCACACGCCAAGGCTTGAGACCTCCTGGAGAGCGGTGGGAGGATGCTGATGGACGGTGATGGGGCCGAGCTGGGACAGGCTCATTCTCCTGTGGGCTGCCAGCAGAGAAGGGTCAGCTTTGATCATCTTCGCTATTCTGAGCAGCCCCCAATGACTTTGTTAAAAAAACAAAAAAATGCCCTTTAGGTCAATCACAAAAGAAGACTCAGTGAGAGGAGGTCTAGAAGCCTGCTCCCGCCCTTTGCTTTTTAAAACCCCGTAACGGGAGCTGCTAACGAAAGTGACCTCAGCCTCGGGCTTCACAAAGCTCAGAGAGCCAGTGCCAGACAGCACCCTGGCCATCAGACAGAACGCCCGGCTCTGGCTCCTTGGCACTGAAGGTCCAGGGCTTCATTGCCCTGCCGTGCTGGCTTAAACCATCTATCCTCAGGGCCCGTCTCTCATCAGGTCACTCTTCCTGGCTCATGGTACCAAAAGTTCAGCCTAGCGCCACCCCTTCCCTCTCCTAAGTCAGCCTGGGCACCTGGCGGCAGAAGCACCTCCGTGGCCATACACACCAGCTTCCCAGGGCGATGGGTGACGGCCCAGAGAAAGGGTCCATCCTTGCTGCGGGTCTTGTTCAACAGAAAAGCCCCATTACATACACGGTGGGAAAGCTGCTGCTGCCCAGTGCAGGCCGCTAGGGTCGTGAGACGCCTGCAAACGTACCTTTCTTCTGAGGCAGAATTCACATATTCCCGGACACACAGGAGGGCAGCATCCCGACACATTTCTTTCAAATCACTTCCTGAGAACCCATCGGTTTCTTTGGCGACTTCGAGCAGGTCCACGCGCCTGTCCACCTGAACCAGGATAAAAATGCCGGTAAATAAACAGGATGCTGGTGGGGAGGAACATGACTGCCCCTGTTTCTACGGGGCTTTGCTGTTTGCAGGAACAACTTAGCCCACGGATCAAGAGAACCTTCCCAAGCATCGGGAGATTGTCTGACACAGACTTCAGGGGTCCGTGAACAAACCCGGCTGTGAGAAGTGGGGGGTGTGGCAGGTACTCGGGTACCCAGCACGACTGCAGCCCCCCCCCCACGTGACAAGGCCAGCCGGGCCCCTTCCCCCACTTGGCTGATTCCTGCTGACCCAACCATGGGGTCAGCACCTCTTCTGCAGTGCAGTGTAACCGCCAGATTTGGGGTGAACTGGGATGTGGGCACAGCCCTCCCCCAAGGCAGGCTGCCACCCCTTTGGGGTTTGCTAGACGACCTTCAAGAGTGACGTGACCAAAAAAGCCCTCCCTGTGCAGCCCCCCGGGGTCAGAAATGATGCCAATGTAAACTGTTCCAATGGAGGAAAAAGGAAGTCAAGGAGATGGGACATTTCCTAGCGGTCAGAAGAGAGGCATGGCAGAGGGTAAAGGTTACTTCAGTAACTGAAAGCTTCATTATTCTCTTGGCCTTGGTAACAATCATCACAGCTGCAGCCAGCATTTACACAGAGCTCTGAGGTTTGCAAAGCACTTTATAAAGAGTATTTCGTGTGATCTCACAACAATCCTAGAGGTGAGGTAGGTGCTATTATCATTCCCATTTTATAAATGAGGAAACTGAGGCAGCCAGAGATTAAGGGACCTGCCCAGGGTCACAAAGCTGTCAAAAGCCTGAGGCAGGATTCGAACTTGGGTCCTTCTGATGCCAGGTCTAGCTGTTCTCTATCTACTGCCCCGCCTCACTGCCTCATTTGGCAGACAGCGGGTGATAAACCTTTCTACCTCTGGAGAACCAAGTCCAAGAGGAAAGGCAGCCCCACAGCCCAGGCTACCCCATCCCCATCCTGCTCTGGGGAAATCTGAGGGCCGGGCAAGGAGGCACAATTGCCCTGACTCCCCCATATTCCACCAATCAAAGCTTTGTTTGGGTTAATGAACCCCTTGTTTAAAACATCAGTACTCCTAGGACCCTTTCACAGCCTACTACAAATTACATCACTCCAAGAGCCAGAGTCTGAATCCTGAAACTAAGGCAAGAGAGTTCTGATGAGGGATGGGGTATACAGGGAGAATTATACAGAGGAAAGGAGGGCTCCGCAGGCCAGCCACCAAGCCGTACCAAAGGCTGACACCCCAAGGCTGCAGCCTGAGAGTGGGGACCACTTTATAATTCAGGCAGATGGCAAAGAGCAGAAGAGGGAACCCAGCGTGTGCTGAGGAGCAGCAGGCCATCGCAGAAGGGGCCCAGGACACGTGGAACCCCGAGGCCCAGGCCCGTCTTCGTGTCCTTGTCCACCAATGAGGGCACTGGACCAGATAACCAACCAAGCCTTCTCCTGCTGAGAGCTGAGCTGCTGCTGTCTCTGGCACTCGGCTGGAGCTGAGGGAAGGCAAACTCCCATTCCGATCCATGACTTATAAACCTTAAGCCCACGGCCACTTTGGCTCGCTAACATATCCCTGCAGCCTGTAGGTCAGGGGCTGCAGCCTTCCTTCTTGGACACCATTTTCCAAAGGCAGAATCTTCCTTTTTGGTCTCTGGGAGAAAACAAGCGGCGCACACAGTTAACAGGTCAGAGACCCAGAGACCACATTCAATAGCCTCTGATCAGACACCAAGTGAGGCACTGAGAAGTGACATCTGCTGGTCCAGGGTGGGGATCCAGGCCAGAGTCCAGGTGGGAGACAGATTCCTCCCAACTGTCTTATCTGTGTTGGCGGCACCAAGCCCCAGAGCAGTGCAAAACTCCCTGTGAGAGATCTAGAAGAACCCAAAAGAGCCTGGCCTAACCAACCACAAGGGAAACACTGAGTGGATGAATCCCATGGGAGAAGTTTGTCTGTGAGTCTCTACCTGGGACAGTGAGGGTGGACAATGGGCTGGGCCCCAAGCTGGACGGGGGAGGGCAGGTGAGACCAGGAAATTCCAAAGCTCTTTTAATGACCTCAAGCCTCCCAAGGAAGCAGCAAGATATTAACACAACAATCTGTGGAACTCATGATGAATTTACACAAGAGGGTGATGGAGAGGTGCATGGGGAGGCAGGCTACAATCTGTGGCGAGAAGAGCCAAAGTTAAAGATGTCATTGAAGAAATGCAGGGCAGGACAATTCGGTGGGCTGGTCACACAAGGGGGGTGTGGGATGACTGGGTGGCATCACATCAGCAAAGAGAAAAAGTCACGTGATGGCCAGAATGACCTCAGAGGCAGCTGGCAAGAGTCACACTGGGAGACAGGCTCAGATGAGCTGCAATCAGCATCTGTGAGATCACGTCTGACAAGAAAGCTGGGACACACCTGGTGCCATTTTGTTTCCTTGCTCCTCTCTTCCTGGCCTTGGCGGGGTCGTCCTCTCCCCCTCTCCCCCAAGCCCTGGGTATGACAGACTAAGCACACACAAGGAGGAGACAACCTTGGCCTGGAGGAGACTCTGGCAGATGAGGGAGGGGCAAGCAGCCAACCCACCATGAATCAAAGGGCTTGTTCATAACCTGGTGTCACATGACAGGGAAAAACTAGTCTGATTGCTGATCAAGCTCCTCAATCGCTTGTAAACTGGTCTGACGGCACGTCTGGAATTCCAGAAATGGTCCAGGCACTGGCCAGGGGCAACATTTCTGGAATAAGGATAGAGCCTCCCGATGTTTTTTCTCTAAAGAAAAGCATGGAGCTATTCTGACAGATCTGTTTAAATAAAATGGTGTCTTTACAATCACAGTTCGAAGGTGAGCCAGGTAGAAACTTCAGTTCGTAGTTCTGGTTCAAAACTTTGAGGAGGAAAAAGATCTCAGGCTTTTTTTCCCCCAAAGTTTGCTCTTAAAAATGTGCTTGAAGAACAAAAGTTAAACAGTAGCACTTTAGCTGAGAAGCTGCTTTACCTCCCCATTAGATACTCAGCAGTGAAGAAACAGCGCCAGAAAACATCATCCCACAAAGCCAATTCTTCTCCTGGGCAAGAAAAACACACAAAATCTGGCAGTCAGCTCACACCCCAAATCCGGACAGAGTGCGCAAAGCATCACGTAACTGGGAGATTTCTCTCTCATCCTTCATCTGAAGGGGTGGGCGGGGGCCTTCAGGCTCTTGTAACTCTGGGGCTGTAATGTGCCTTGGCACATAAGCCATTATGCAGAGGGTCTGACTATCTCATACTGTGAAGCTGTGATCACAGGAGCCCATGTACTCGTATAGGTCAAAACCAAGAGATGGCTAGGATTCTCTCCGGCCCTCTGCAAACGGAATCACGCCGAGGATTTCCAGAGAGCATCTCCCATCAGAAAAGGCAGACAGGAGAGCACAGCGGGCAGGGCTTTCACTGGAGCGGAAGAGCACGGCTGCTGTCAGCCACGTGGGGTCAGCTCCGTCCATCCCCCATTCTGCTCAACGCCAGCAGAACTCTTCATGTACCTTAAGATACAAAGGTCGGCCAATTTGGGCACCAGCAGGTTTCGATCCACGGGGAACACCGTAGCTTTCATCTCAATTAAGTCCCTTAGGGAAGGACGTGGACATAACCCATCAATATGACGCCATCAGGAAGAAATCCTCAGATTCACAGAAGGTGAGCCCTTCCCTAATGGTTCCTAAATTACTCTTCCTGCCAAAGCCTTGTTAAGCCCTCCAAGAGCCCCACAGCATGCTCCCCATCACCGTCAGGGCTGGTATTATTTCCCTGTTTCAGAGGGGAATGAGGGTCCTGAGAGGGAAAGGGCTTGCCCAGGATCACACACTGTTAAGAGCTGAATCTGAACCCAGGTCGTCCTGATTCCACGTCCCCTGCTTGCTCCACGGCACCATCACCTCTCCTTCGGTCCTGAAGCAGTTTCATCTAACGCTCCAATTACACTAGGGGTGGCCTCCAAGCCATGATGTCACTGGCGTAGGATGGCCACTCCTCTGTAACTGGACTATTACAGAGCTGCTGGGGGTGGGGATGAGAAGGCTGGTGCTTTGTTCCTAGGTATGGAGCCAGGACGTTTCAGAGACAAGACTTGAGACCCCTGCCCCATGGCCTTTGACGCTTCTGCTGGAACACATCAGTGCTACCCACTCTTTCTGACTCACAGTCATGAGCCAAAGAACAAAAGCCCTTGTTGGCCTTCCATTCAGGCCCTTCCCAGGTACCAGTCTCTCAAGGCTTCCGAGGACCTTGTGGGGTTCAAAATAAAGAAACCTGCAGCTTGATGCCCAACCCTTTCAGCTTTTGGGTGGCAATCTATCCAGCTATCAAAACCAGCTCCTTCAAAGAAAAGGAGGCTGGTGTTTCTGTATACAGCCCCCAGCAACCGCCTTCAAGAGAACTGTCATCAAGGCCTGTGCCCTCTGCAAGTAAAATCCTACCATGGCCTATTAAAAAAAAGGGGAACAATTTTCTACTTACATTTTCATTCTTCAAAATCAGCTTCAGGATGGCTTCTCTCTGTTTTAAAGCCTGGTAACAAAAATGGGATAATTCAGTTACCACATTTTACAAAGCGCCAATGAGATGGTCTAACATTCTTTTCTTTCCTCCAAATTTCCTGTGATTTGGACACTGCCAATTAGCACCTCAAGAAGATGCATCCCAAGAAAAAGGTGAAATTCCAATCTGTTTTAGTACCTGTTAGCAGCTCTAGTAAAACCTTTTGTTGGCTGAAACCAAGTAAGCTCTGACGATGTCCAAACTAAAAACTCCTTTCCCCTTGAAAAATGGTGCCCAGCCTGTGAGCTGAGGACTCGAGGGGAGCCCCAGAGCTACTGCCAGTCCATTGACCTTTCTCTATAACCAACAAAGCATGCCGTGTGCCTCAGGGCAACAGGGCTGAATCAGTGTTTTACACCCAAGGCAGGACGAGCTGACTTATCAAACACAAAGGCACGGTAGCTTTTTGTCAGCACGTCTTTCACATGTGTGTGCAGCCATATTAGGGAGTTACATGAGGGAGTCTTTGAAGTTTGCTGTAAAATGGGGTTCCTGTTCTAAAAAGGAGGGGAACCACCACTCAGGAACTTCTGAAAGCAAACCTTTCACTGAGGAAGCTTCTGTCATCTCTCTCACCTCCTCCAATAAATTCTTAGCCATTAAAAGAGCAGCAAAAATCCCGACCTCCCCCATGTGAACCCCCAGCTCCCAGGCCTTCCCAAGTCCTGACTCGAATCTTCTCTTTACAGCACCAGAGCAGTGTTTGTGTAGAAATCGACTGAGGATTTTGTTACCTCAACAATGTCAATTATTAGTAGGAAATTATCTGTTAACTTCCCTGTACGGCATCTGGCAGAACCAGGAAGCACAAATGGTTTTTTCTTAGTAATAATTTATCTCTTACTCCCATTATCACTGAGGACAGAATTAGTTGCAATAACTATGAAATCAAACGAGCTGTAAAAATCACCTGTTCAGGAAGGCAGCTAAGAACTCGACTGGAGTTTGAGTAAAAAAACCAAAGAAACCTTTGGCTCCGGGAGGGGTTTAAGTACATTTACTCACCCACTCTTACACCCTAGGTATGCACTAAGAACGCACTTAACTACCTTGTTTAATTAGGAAGTGGACACATGAATCCACTGGGAAAATGGTAGAACATCCATTAAAGCTCTCCAAGGGTCACCTACGAAAAGAGAGCTTTTGATCAGTTTTTGGAGCTCGCTCTCAAAGCCTTAAAATACAACTTGCAACTTTGCTCCACGTTTCCTTCTCTGCTTACGTGGAGCCAAGTGCTTTCCACATCACTGCCATCAAAGGGCTTTGTTTTCTTTTGGAACCAACCAAGAGTCCATTCAAATAGAAGAGGGGAAAGTCTCATGTTTTTTGTAGCATTGAAACCGGGAGGAAATGCTTAGGAATTTCAGGCAGCCAGAAGACCAAAATGAATCCCCGAGCCTTAAAAATGGCTGCAATTAACGGATCAAATCAAATTTCCCACCTGCTTTCCTCACCCTGAAGAAACTTGCTCGGGACGTAGAAAACGTGAGGGGGTCAAGGAGAGCTTCATGAATGAACCAGCCAGTTTTCTTTCCCACCCACACACAAATTAAAAGATGCAAAGTTGAAGAAAACTCTATTTCCAGTTTCTTCAAAGTTCCAAAGTTTAAAAAGCATTAGTCTGTGTGAAACTGCTGACTTTGGCTACTCTAAAGAGAAAGTGGTGTGTCACTGCTGCCCTTTGGTCCCTCATCCTCAAAGCTCCACTGGCAGCACTCTGCCAGCTGGGTAGCCCCGATTCTGCCACTCTCCTAGGTCTATTCCCATCCATCTGACTGCCCTTAATCCTCGTAACAGCCCCTTCTGGGTCCCCAGGGCTACTCCAGGGGCATGTGCTGTCACAGTCTATGCACTTGGTAAATCATGGACTTTCAGTTACTTATCCTCATTCTTGTTTACAGACAAAACGAGTCGGGCCAGAGCTCGAGGCGTATCTCAAAGAGGAGCCTGACCAGGGGCTGGGGAGTCCCTCTCATGTCTGTCGTGGACCTCCTGACCATCCGTGAGCTGCCACACTCAACTGCCTTGGCTGGAGAAAATGATGCAGCCAAAGAGGACGAGCGAAAGAGGATGACGCCATGTTCACAACGAGCATCTAAGGCAGGGCTGCCAAGACCGAGGATGAACACTTGGCGATCGTCATTTCTGCAAGTGCTGAGCCGTCGGCAGTGAGATCTGAGAGGGGCAACGTTTAAGCTACAAAACCACAGCATCCTCTCCTGATGGTTAAACATTTTGCAGCAGAAAAGAAAACAAAGAAATGCCCATCCACTGAAGGCCAAAAGGACACGGAGCCTCCTTGATGCCCCACGAGCCCAGCAATAGCTGAAGGCCAGAGGAGCTAAGGGGAAGAGGAGGGCGAGAGGCGGGCAGGGGATTCTCGCCAAGTCCCTGCTCCAGGCAGGGCACTGGAGAGCACAGGGGGGCAGGGAGGAAAGAAACTGAGCTGAGCCCAGCAAAGACCAGCTCCTGGCCCTCCACGGCGATCCCGTTAACTTACTGGTTGGTTGATATGAAATCTCGTAGGCATTCTTCTCATAATAGCAGAATCAAGATCCTGAGGACGGTTGGTTGCTCCCATCACTATGACCTAAATATGTAAAAGAAGTATTAAATATACTAATAATATCTCTTCTACCCAAATATGTCAACAGTAAATGGAAGGTTTACTAAATCTTCCTGGTGTTTAAATCTCCATGTGTGATGATTTTTTTTTTTTGCTTTTTGGTAAGGCAATTATGGTTAAGTGACTTGCCCAGGGGTGATCACACAGCTAGTAAGAGTCAAGTGTCTGAGGCCAGATTTGAATTCAGGTCCTCCTGACCCCAAGGTCAGAGTTCTATCCACCGCACAGACATTCTTCTTAAAGGACTTCATAGGAGGGTGTAAGCTGCTTAAAGGACAAGGTTGGACAGACTAATTTATTGGGCTCTAACTCCACAGGTGCTCGAGAAACACTGGCCAAGCGGGCAACCCGGGCGGCCGAAGCTGCCTGAGTGAGTGCAGTGGCGAGACAGAGCACGAAGGGACCCCCGGAGATTTTAACTCCAGCTCTCCCTCCATCACCATCGCAGCTGTGGGCAGACAAAGCCCATCATCCCAAAGCCGCCTGGCTCCGAGACAATCTTTGAGCCTGCGGGGGGCTCACACAGAAGGAGCTGATCCCAGGGCCCCCCCACCCCATTTTAAAAGCAAGAGCAGGAAAAGAAAAGAAAAACTAACGTAGCCCTGTGCAAGCTTCTGAGAACCCCAGGATCTCGCCTTTATCATCCTTATCACTACCAAAGCACAGCACATCGTTCTAGAGCCAACTGGAAATTCCACAAAAACCTCCTCTCTGTCATTTCAAGAGATGCCTCTGGGAGTGCTGGCATTTCAGAAACCAAAGGTAAACTGCTCCATCCCACGACACACCCCATCCTAGGGCCTGAGCCTCTGGGCTCGTGAGCACAGTGCCCAGCTCACTACCTTCCAGGAGCTGAGCGAGGCTGCCACCTAGAGGGTGAACAGGAACTCAGCGTCTTTGTTAGGCAAAGTCCCTCTAAACGGCACCTCCTTTTCAATGGTCAGTAATAGCTCACAGCATCAGAATAAGGACAGTTACTTTTTTCCTGCTTTATTTTAAAAGAAAACAAAGCCAACAAATAGAACGGAATCATTAACACTGCTGCTTCAACCAGCAGCTGACCATCCATGATCGATGGAAAGGTTTCAATGGGGCCTTGTAGGCACCAGCCTCCTCTTTATAGGCCCTTCACAAAGGTATCAGTCTCTGTTATCACCCGACCCAACACTATAAGTGCAAGTGACGCTGAAAAGAAAAAAGAAGAGGGCAAACTGAGGAGATGGAAGTTTACTTAGAAAACCTGCAAGAATCAACAAATGAATCAAGAAATAAAAGCTTCAGTAAAGCAGCAGGAATGCAAAGTGACCCTAAATTATCAGTATTTCTTTATGATACTAAAAAAAAAAACCAAACCAGAACAACACCCAAATTAAGAGACAGAAAGATAAAATCCATTTAAAATAAAAAACAAATGTGTTAAATTTCTGGGAGCTAAGGTACCAAGAAAATAAGAACTTTCATAAATACTGCCAGAAAATAATTTTCACAGAGATAAAGGAAATAGCTGGAGAGATCTTCACTATTCAAGGTTGGGCCATGCCAATACAATAGAAATGAGACTTTCCAAATTAATCTTCAGAGCCAACCAAATCACAAACGGAGGATTCATAGAAACAGACAAAATATAATGCGCGTGGAAGAACAAAAGAGTTGAGAATATCAAGGGAAATAAAGAAAGTAAGAGTAGTCTTGAAGCAGGCTTGGTGTTCCCTGATCTAAAACACAAATGCAGAGCATCACTGCCCAAACTGCCTGGTAATAAATACATAAAAAAAGAGAAGAGTGGACAAAGGGGTAAAGACCGAAAAGACAACACACAGAGTTCTAGGCAGTCTACTGTTCAAACTACTAGGGAACATTTCCTGTTCACCAATGAGAAAGCAGATGAACAGAAAACACTCAAGCTGGCACGTCACAGCAAGCACAGACCACGAGCCCAAACGCAGGGGCACTCTCCATATGGAGTCTCCCCACAAACATTAGAGGGAAATGGGCTGTTTCAAGAAGTGGGCATTAGGCAGGAAGGACTGAATCCCATCACTCCCGACATTCTCAAGGGAAACAAAAGCAGAAGAAACCCCAGTAACCAGAAGGCTCGCGCACAGGTCCGCTGTGAAGAGGCAAAGGCGGGAAGAGAAGCCAGGGTTGGGGCACTCAGGTCACCTGGCATTTGCGTCACACCTGCCAGGTGCCAGGCTCTGTGCCAAGCATGGGGAGTTCCTGGAGGAGCCCGCAGTCTGATGGGGGAGACAACATGCAAACTCTGGAGAAGCAAGATGGGGGCAGGATGACCTGAGGTGGCTGGCAGAGGGAAGACCCTGGCAGAGGGAAGACCCTGGCTTCGTGCAGAAGCGCACGAAGGGCTGTATGCCCCAACAACTCTCTGAGACGCCGAAGGACATGGACAACATTTCAGGAGTGGGAAACGGGACAGCAAAGGCGTGGAGGTCCACGGGGAGACCCAAAGCACAGAGGACTGACCAATTCCCTGAGAGGACTGTCTGGACTGCAAGAGGCTCAAAGAGCTCATCGAGGAATTCTACGCATGGAATGAAGGGAGGCAGCTCGTGGGGCCAGGAGGACGGGGGCAAAGACTGGAGAGGAGGAGAAGGTGTGGATGGACTCACACCGAGATTAGAAGCCCCTCAAAAGAGCAAAAGATTGGTTCAGTTAGAAAGGCCTTTCAGAACTAGCAACTGGTAACTTCAGACGCCTTTCATGAAATTCTCTTGGCTGTGCTGTATTTCCCACCCAAACAAGTGAATTACATTCAAGGATTCTCTTCCCCCTTGCACTTATCCATCTACACTGCCTACAGAATGTAAGGGAGAAGAGAACAGGAGGATCTGTTATCCTAAAACAAAACAAACAAAAAAGACCAAATTAGTTCCCTTTAGTTTTGGGGGGAGTAGGAGGAGAGAGTGAAGGAAAGAAGAAATGCTGGGGAAAGGTGAGAAGGGAGACTGTGAGTGAAAAGTACAGAAGAATTTTGGAAGGCAACAGAGAAGATGGAAAAAATCAGTAAGACAAAAAAAATCTAAAAGCAGCAGAAGGTGGTTAAAGAAAAAAAAAACCAGGTCAGAAGGCCAATCCTCAAAGGGTCCAGTGCAACTGGTCACTTCATTCCTTTATAAACTGTGGTTTTGAAAATCCCTGGAAGACAGCTCTGCCCGCTGCTAAATACCTGAAATGAATGCAATCCATTTGTATTTTGTGAACAGGGTCACCCCCGAGAATCGAACACAGCTGTCTTTAGACACGTGTTCTAAGAAACGCTGAGTACAGCCGACACAGCTCCTCACCCACCTGACAGCTGTAGTCTGTGTCCAGCCCATCCCAGAGGCTCATGAATTGAGCTTTCATCATGGCGGTAGCTTCATGATCTGAACTCGATCGGCTTCGGAGGAAAGAGTCTAGAAGGAACAGAAGAACACGTTCATCGCAGGAATGCAGAACTCACGCTTTACTCGTTACGAAATCTAACTCAAAGCTAGCATGGCATAGGAAAACTTATGGGAGTGAGGAGGCATGAGCTCCCACTCTGCCCCAGACACTCAAATGTGTGTCTCCACAGGACAATCATCCCACCTCAAGAGCCTCAGTTATCCTCATCTGTGAAATGAAATGAATACTACCTATACGAAGCAACCCATGGAGATTTTTAAGAATGGAAGATAGAAGCAAGGAAATCATAATTAAAAAACTCTGTCCTCATGTTAACACGGATTTAAAAAAAAAATTTTCCAAGCTATGCCTACAAAATTTTTCCAGATGCTAAAAATATTAACATTAAAAAGACAGAACAGAACATTTTAAAATCCTATTGAACTTGAAAGTAGGCAGACATTTCACAGTCATAGATGCTTATTTTACTCTGGAATCACTCTGCATCATCTGGCAAAAATAAATGTTCGGTCTATTTACGGCAGCTTTTTGGTAACATAGTAGTTTTTGGTAACTGTACCTATTTCATCGATAAAGATGATAGAAGGCTGGAGCTTGATAGCAAGAGAGAACACGGCAGCGGCCAACTTCTGCGACTCCCCGTACCACTTATCCGTCAGAGTGGACGGCTGAAGGTTAATGAAGCGGCACCCTGCCTCCTTGGCAGTAGCCTTGGCAATTAATGTCTTACCACAGCCTGGAGGCCCATAGAGAAGAACTCCTGAAAAAGGAACATGCCGATAATTAAGGTCTGATTGTCCTGGAAAGAGTCCACCACGGGCTCCCTTCTACGTGACGCCCAACTATCACTGCTCGACACCCAAGGTCTAATCCTGCTTTGACTCACTCACGCATCACAGCACGGGATACGTTAATATCAATTTTCCACTGCTAGAAATTAAGACAAAACATCTAACGTAAAGTTTCCAAGTAGACTCAAGTGCTGTGTTTGTCTGTGTTTAAGGAAACACATATAACATCTCTCTATGTGCCCATTCATGAAACTTCTGCCCTTTGGATTAAATGGGTCATTCTGTACAGATAATGCTAGTACCCACTCAGTGGGCTAAATGACAGTTAACATTATCTCATGTCAATGCCCACTGATATATCGGTCATTCCTGCTGATACAGTGAAATCGACACCACTCTCTCACAGGTCACCAAGGTATTCTGATGACCTGGAACAGATAAAAAGGGTAAGGAGGGCAATTAGAAGGACGGTGACCAACAGAGTTTTCCGTCCAAGAGGCTTCTCTGAGTGCTGAAAGAGCAGGGTCTCCTCCAACACAGACTCTGACAGGAACCTCCAAAGGCATACTCTATCCTATCCCATCAGGCATTGGCAAAACTGACTTCTGAATATAATGTAAGTTATTTTTATATGCAAAATCCTAAATACTTCGAGTCTTAAGTCCCTTTGTGGATTTCTTTATTCCAATTAGTGTAAAATATTCCGACATGCCAAAGGAGCCGTGACCTCCTTCCATGGGATGAACCCTCCAATAATGCAGATTTCAACCCATCTATGTCTACCTATCCCTAGGACCCTTCTCCATGTCATCCCATGGGCTCATCAGAGATGCCAACATGTTAGGGGCCTGTCTCAATTCCTCTTGACTTCCTAAGAACACCAAGAAAGCACGTGGGCTGTCCAGTAGAGGCCGCTCCATCTGTGTTCTCTGATGACATCCTTATGATACATTTCCTTATGTAATAGGACACCTGCAATGTGTTACATCTCATTTGTGTCCATCACACTTCTCCACGGCTCCTTTGGGGGCACATCATCACTGGCAGAGTACTGGTGTTAAAAAGATGGCCCCTTTTCTCAGGGAAAAGCTGGGGGTCAACAAAAGAACAGTCCTCTGTCTCCTCTCCTCATTGTCCAAGGTACATACACTGTGTACGAGTCCCACGGGCCATCCATTCAACGCTCACAGCCTATACAGGAAGCACTCTTCATCCATCTGTTTCTTCCTGGGTGGACAGACAGTTATCTTGAGTGATTATCTCACTGAGGAGGCTCTGCTCCCTGAATGAAATCAGCATCATATCATGGGAAGAAGCATCTGGAAGGCCCTGCCATCTAAAGAGACTCTCTTGTACTTGGCAGTCTCTGGGTAGAGCAGCTTCCATAACAGCTGAGGACACTTAGGGGAGCTGGAAGGTGCGTCAAAGGCGGGTTAGTCCACGCCCTTCGTTTCCAGGGAATTCAGTGACAGATGGATGGAGGTCTTGAGCCAGGCCTTCTCCAGCACCATGCTTCCTGTTCTCCATCCGCTTTGACATTAACGCTCGTCCTCCCCAGTACCTTTCAAGGAGTACTGTCCGCTGCTGACAAAAGCAGGCAGACTAACTAAGGAGGGACGTGAAAATGGAATTTCACTCTAACAAATCAAATGCCTTTATGAACCCGCCCAGGATCCCCGTTTTCTCAATCATTCATCACGTGTGTGGTAAAGAGGATGAGCTCTGAGACACAGACTGTGAATGACTGGCAGTTGTCTCCTCGAGGGCACTCACAATGCACGTGCACACTACTCTTAAAAACCGTACACGCAGATGGAGGAGGTGTGCGAGCAGGCACTACCAACATTCTCTTGGTCTTTTCCCCACGTGTACATTTCTGGTGATGTTCTTCATCCCACTGCGCTAAACTTCTCATTTGTAATGGGTCACAGCCTGCTCATGCCCACCACGTCCGATGCCTCACTGATCTCTGCAGCGCTCCAGCCTTTAGCATTGTCCCCTCCTTCAGACCCCTTGGGAATTGATCCTTCAAGCCCCACCGCCCAGCATGCCCCCTTCAGCCTGGCACTCCTCTCTACGGTCTTCTTCTTACACATTGTACTTCTCCCTACCCCATCACATACTCTCTGATCCAGTGACACAGCCTCCTGGCTGTCCTACCATAACCCTCCTTCTCTGGGCTCTAGGCATTTTCTCCAGCTGTCCCCCACGCCTGGAATGCTCTTCCCCTCTACACTGACTACTGACCTCCCTGGCTTCCTTCAAGTCCCAACTAAAATCCTACCTTTTGCAAGAAGCCTTTCCTGAGTCCCCTTAATGCTAATGCCCTCCCCCTGTGGATTACCTCCAATTTACCCTGTCTATAGCTTGACTATATAAAGTTTTTGCACGTTGTCCCCACCACCCTCCCCTTAGCTCGAGGGTAGGGACTACCCTTTACCTTTCTTAGCACAGGGACTGGCACACAGCTGGCACTTAATAAATGTTTCTTAACTCAGAAGCTGCTTTCCCATCACTGTTTTTTTTTTTTTTTAAGGCCATTCATTTCTACTTCCTCAGAGAAATGCACCAAGGCCTGATCTTAGTGTCCATATGTGCTGGTGACTTCACCGTCCTTGATGAAGCGTTTGTTACCGCAATTTTTGCAAACCTTTCATGTCCACTGCCAAAAAACTCACTGTAAATTGAGTTAGAAGTGAAGTTTCCATCTGTGAATGGTTAGCTACAATATTCGGTTTACTAGATTTGACAAGGTCTCAACATATCTTGAACTGATTTTAACCAGTAAGATCATATCTGACCTCTAAAATGGAATTCTGGCTACTAGTAGAGCGAGTGAGGAGAAGTGCTAGATCCCAAGACTGACGTGTGAATCCTGGCTCAGACATGTCTGAGAAACAAGAATCATCTGGCCTAGCATGGTACAAACATCTGCGTGGTGCAAACACCTTCAAGCATGATAGAAATATTGTGCTTAAATGCGCCGCTATTCTCCTTACTGACAAATTAACACTCTATAATTGTACCTGACTGCTTTGCTCAATTAATGGTTTAAAAAGTATTTGCAATGCAGTTTTTTGGCCCAAGGGGTTTGAACTATTTCTGAGGCACTAAGATTGTCCGTTCATAAAACATCTTTCTAGAGCAGACCCAAGACAGCAATGACACATTTCCAGAAGGTGGGGGCTGTTTGGCCGTCATTTTGGAAGAGAACCAACAGCATCACAATGTCTCGACTTGTGTGTGAGCCAGATTTAAGCGAGGCAGAGTTGCACAACGCAGGATGCAGTGGATGACCTTGGCGTTTTTGATGTCTGACCAAGCTCTGAGCGCTCCCCAGTGCCTGCTTCAGCCTCTTCACAAACTGTTCTCAACCGCCCATTCTGCTGGGGGGGTCTTCACATGCCTGGTGGCACATACTTCCCTAACTCACGGATGGGTCTGAGGCCCATCGGTTACCCTCAACCTGGTTTATCCCATCCGCCAAGACGGTTTTACTGAGGTGTGGCTGCTTCTCATGCTACAGCTCCTTGGAGCCCCAGGTGAGAGTGGGGCACAGAGAGAAAGCAGGGGCGCTGGGGCACAACACAACTGAGTGCCTGATGTGACAATAACAGAGAGTGTCTGTTTTCCAGACTGACTCTACCTGGCAAGCGAGGGGAACCAAACCCTCCATTTCTCCACCCACGGCACCAATATGGTCCCTGGGAAACATCTCTTCCTGGGGTCTGGCGCGCAATCCTAAAGCCAAGGTCAGACTGCCTGCTCCTGGCTAAGGACAGCTCCTCTGGGTCACTTTTCATTTTTTGCTCTTTGTAACAGAACCCTGACAAACTCAAAAATGACTAACTGCAGGAAGAGAGTCAGAATACCATCATCCACAGTGTCACTGAAAGAGGGCCAATGACGCATTTCAAAGATGGAAGCGCTGCCCCCGCCGTGCGGGAGAGCTAGCCAAGCAGGAAAACCAATGCATTATATGTACTTTTAAAAATAAGCACACAGATGGCTAGCTTTGTGTGCAATCCTCTTTTTTCTGTTCTATTTTATATATGGAAATGCTCTTTAAGAGCAAAACTTAAAAGATTAAAGTTAAAAAAATGCACGACCACCTTGAAGACTAAACCAACAAACCCTCTCAACTCCTGAGTTATGAGGCTTAAAGCAATTTCCTGGTGAAAAGAGGGACTAGTTTCCCTCCAAGGTTAACGATGTACAATTAAGCTCAGGTCTATGAATTTAATGCAAAATAAGAGAGACAAGATTCTGGGTCAAGGCGACCGCTGTCTGTTGGCATATTAATTAACTCGGTCCCAGATCAGAAGGATGTTCTTTCCCTATTCCATAGTCTCAAAATTAGCCGACCTCCACTATCTAGGTTCTAGGTCACATGCAGTTTGACACTACCTGTGTATAGAATGGTTATAATCTAAAAAGTAGGTCAAAACCCACATAATTAAAAACCTGGAATGAGAAGAATAATTGTAAACTATTGGCTATCCCAGATATTAGGCATTTTGAAATAATTTGGCTTAGATCTCTGCAATTTCTACCATCACTGTCTTTCAAATTTTAATTTACTTTGAAATAGACAAACTTGACTTATGATTTGACTAATTAACTATCCACAGGGGAAAAAAGTATTTATTTAAGTACCTGGGTAATAAATACAATAAAACAATTTTTATTTAAAAAAACAACCTAATAGCTGCATAAAAAAATGCAGCGACCTTTGGGAACCTGATCGTGTGCTGCTATGGAATGTCTCTGTGGCAACGTCAAGCTCCTGTCCCCACCCACCCACCCTACCTTTCGGAGGCTGGAGAAGCCTGGAATTTTCAAACAAATGCTTCTTCTTGATAGGCAAGATGACGGTGTCTTTGAGGTCTGTGATGACATCGTCCAGACCCGCTATGTCACTCCAAGTAACCTGAGGCGAGAAGCAGCAGAGACACAAAGGGTCAGGACAAGGGAGAGATGAAAAGCTAGGACGAGCACTAACTCAATTAGGTAATAAAAGGGGACTTGCGAGTCTGGGAGAGAGGAGCTCTTCCTAGGCAGAATATGTTAATTAAGAATTAGGGAGAAAAACAGAGTCATTAGGAATTCTAACTCCAGAGCATTGATTTAGAGCTGGAAGAGACTTTTGAGGTCATCAATCTGATCCCCTTCATTTTATAGACGGGGAAACTGAGGCCCCGGGGTTCAATGACTTGCCCAAGGGCATACATGGAGTGAAACTGCCAGGACAGGAACCCCAGGCTTCTGATGCAATCCAGTTTTATAGAGGCTCATTTTACCATTAGTTCAACAATTAAATGAGGCAATGAACATCATGATTCGATCAGATGGCCCACGGGCCCACCTAGGATAAGGATACCATGCTGTGGAAAAAGGAAGACGACCCGCAGCTAAGATGCGGGCAGTGGCATCCACGTTCAGAAGGATTTCTCATAATCAGTGGCTACACCAATCAAACCAGAGCTCTGCTCATCAAAAGAGAAACATTATCAAAAGCTCTCGTTACAAGGTTCTGGATCAGGAAGTGAAAGCCTCTAGTCCACGGGTCAGGAATATTTTTTCCCTACAATACTGATGTCTTGCTGGGATACAAGAACCATCCAATACACAGACAACAACCACCCCGACGAAGTCCGTCCCAGGGTGCAGAAAGAGCTGGAGGAGGGATCGCTAAGTGCGATCCAGGAGATCTGTGGGACAAGACCATGGCAAAATGCTAGAGTGTGTTGTTTGAAAACTGCATTCAGAAGAGGAAGCCGGGTCACCGATTCAGCACGGTGCCATCCCAACTGACGTCACCTCATTCCTCTGACCGATGAGGGCAAATCCAGGGAGATCTCAAAATAGCTTGTCTGGACTTTCATCAAGCAAATCTTGTGGAAAAGACAGAAACATGTGGGCTGGAAGGATTCAGACCTGGGTAAAGGGCCAACCTCAATTCACCAAGTGGGAAGGAGGTACCTACTGCAATGCTCCAGAGACCTGCGCTTGCACCTGGCTGCTGAACAGTTTAAAGACCACTCGATCAAGTCTGAAGATGACACAAAATTGTGTGGATGCAGAGTCAGGAATCAAAACTCTCCTGACAGACAGGAGCACTGGGTCACATGTAATAAAATGATATTTTACTAGGGAAAAAGTTAGTTGTAAGAGTTAAGACCAATGACCTAGAGCCGGAGGGGGCCTTAAAGGCTAAACCAGCCCTCTCAGCTGACAGACGAGGAACCTGAGGTTCACAGATGGGGTAGTTTTCCCAAAGTCACAAGGACTCCAGGCATCTGCAGCAGGATTTGGACCCAGGTCCTTCACCAGATCACATAGCCTCTCATTACATCTTATAATTCTATTAAAAGACTAAAGAGTGAGGCACTGCACCCCTTCCACCTCCTACTGCGGCGCCTGACCCTTGAGGAAAGAGGAAGAGAAGCCCAACGTCCATCTCTGGCTTTGGTGTCTCCTGGAAAGGAAATGGGAGGGGCCTTCCATCTGACCATGCTGGGAGGGTCTCCTGCCCAATTCTCCAGCCTCCTCTGGGAAGAGGAGTGGCAGCTTCCCATCAATGATTAACATTCCCACCTGATCATACCCTCTGCCCATCCCAGTTACCATTCAGGTTCCCCTGCCCCTTCCCCTGACTCCTTATTCCCCTCCCAGTCCAGAGCCCCAAACGAACGCGACCCATGCCTGCCACGTGCCCCCTGGAATGCCTTTTCCATAGATTACAAGCTTCTCTGCAGCTTCTATCTTTTCCTCTCCCACTCCTTCTGTCCTGTGGTGTTCAAAGTCCTTCACAGCCCAGCCGGCCTCCCCTCTCCGATGCAGTAACACCGGCCTGCTGTCTGTCACATGAATGAGACCCTCCCTCTCTCAGCTCCAGGCATCATGTTCTCTGGCCATCCCGTTCCCCCCTCTCCCCCTCCTCCCTTAGACTGTGAGTTCCCTGAGGGCAGGTACTGCCTTCTGCCTCTTTTTGTGTGCTCAGCACCTAGCACTGAGAAGGACCGATGTGAGGCGGCTGTGGCAGTGGGAGGTACAGTCCTGCTGTGCTCTGCCCTCATCTGGCAGAACCAGACCTCTGAACCCCTGGGCTCAGGTGTTGATGGAGTCTGAGGGGCACAGATGAGCCGGAAGGCCACTTGGAGAGGAAATGCCTTCAGCTCATGCTGCAGGAGGATCTGGGGAAGGGAACGGGGACAATTTAGCCTCAAAACGGGTACACTCCAAAAGAACATGGTGGTGCACGTGACGTGCTCCAAGGGCTGTGCCATAGGAGGGAAACCGACAGAAGGAAGGAGCGGTGTGGGAAAGCCACAAAGCCGCTAACTCAGGCAGGGCCCGAGGAAGCCCCTCCTCCTAATTAGCAGCAAGGCAGAGAGGCTGGATGACCTTTGGTCAGGTGTGCCTTAGAGGGGCTCTACTTGTGGGGTTGCACTGGCCTTGATGCCCTCGTCATGGAAATGAAGGGCCTGAGATCTGAGGCGGCCAGAAGGACGCCCATGGACGCACCAAGGCCCCCAGAGAGTCCTGACCACGGGGGCGCAGCCAGGGTCTGTGATCCATCATCTGCCAACCCTCCTCCACCTCACAATCACTCTCCGGGCCTTGGAGAGCTGCCTGAGGCTCAGGGAGGTCAGGAAGCCTGCACCTGGTCACAAAGCCGGGAAGGGTCGGGGCAGCAGAAGCGGAAGCCGGCCCTGGGCGGCTTCCAGCCCAGCATGCCGTACACTCTTCAACAAAACCACACACCACACAACTACGGGGCAAAGCAAGTTGTGCCCCCACGTCTCTGTGCTTTCAGCGTCCTCCTCTGCAGTCTTCCTTCTCTAGAAAAGAAAGCCAGCTAAGGTGGCTTCTGGGCTCTTTGGCCCCCTTACTGTGGGCTGATTGACAGCAGTAAAAAGGTGACAGCCTATGCTGATGCGGCCTCTCGGCGCCCTCTCGCTCTTAGGCCTTCTCTTAGTTTGGCTCTGAGGCTTTGATCTCTGCTCTCACAAGTCGGCGGTTTGATTGCACACAGCCAGTTGGGTCGGAATGGATGACACCCCATCAGTAACGGGTCATCTCTAATCAGTGAAAACAGAATCCCTCCCGCCTCCCAACTCACTTCTTGAAGGAAGCATGAAGGACGTCCGAAGCATCCTCCCAAATCGTGCCGTCTGCCCCACGTCCCACCTCGGCACTGAAGCGATGAAGTCTAGGTCCTCGTCTTCTGTAAGTGTGGCTGGCTCCTAAGTTACCATTCTAGGTTCGGTGGCCTTTCTGCAAATGCACATCACAGGTGCTGCCTACAAGAGGGTGGAGGGCCCCACAAGCTTCTTACTGCCTTGGGAGGCGTGATAAAAACTGCCTTCATCTCCTCCCTTATTTGCCTCTTCAAGGAAAGCCTGAGAGCCACCTTTCTGCTGTCCCTGTTTCCTAATGTTGTTTAGAGTGAGTTTAGGGCGGGGAGATCCAGGGGGCTCTGTGATTGGTTCAGGCCCTCCAGGATGAGACCCTCTTGTCCATCACTGGACAAGGCTCTCACATCTGGGTACTGACAGTGTCATCCAGGTCTAGAGACAGGCAAAAAGCCATGTGATCGCTAGCATGCTCTGCCCCATTTCCACCAGGGACTGCTTCAATCCCTGCAGTAGCTGACGGGGACAACCCAGACTGCATTTTCTTTCTTTTGCTGGGGACAAGTTGATCCTTACTCAGCAAGGCTCTCTCTTGGAAGGCAGGTGAAATCTGTGGCTGGGAGCACAAAGTCCAACATGCTTCCAGAGCTGGTGTGGCCAGGGGTCACCTGGAACACGCCCCAAGGAGATCCTGGAGGTCTCTGAAGCAGCCAAGAGCAAATACGGGGTGTGAACGCTGGATCTCCACTGACATCCTATTCCAACACTGCTTCCAGGCTCACGTACAACCCTGGGGTCTCCAAAGATCTATCAGTGGAGAACAAACTTTGGCAGAAGCTGCATGAAGCTAGAAAGCCTTGGGATAGCGCTGCACCTTCGCACCAGGGGCCTGGCCCCCAGGCAGACTGCAGCAACTCATGACACCATGCAGTAAGGCACAGAGGCTGCACCCTGCATCAATGGACTGAGGACCTCCAAGCACTAAACTAGATATTCTTTACGTAATTAAATACCCTACAAAAAAACAAAGCAAAGCATTTTGGAAAGTGCCAGCTCTTGCAAGAAAAGCCTCGTGGACCTACATTTAACTTGGTCCAAATGAACACACTTGGGGTGTTTCAGGAGGTTTTCTGGGGGGAGAGTGTGTTGCTAAACATAGCTATACAGTATGCAGAGTGGGGGAGGTTGGTGGCAGTATCTGAAGGACCCTTTGATGGTGGAGTTCACAAATTTATGCCCCCTTATGTTTATAGCCAAAATCTGTCTAAGCTATCTATCCAACTCCATGCAACCTCGAGGGATTTTAACATTCCTATTGCGTGGCTAAAATTCTATCGGGGAGGGAAGAGGGAAGCTCATGGACACAGAGACGGTGCAATGAAGGACGAGGCACCATGAGGCTGCCACCCACTGCCTGACTCCCACTTTGTTTCGGGGCACAGGTCCTGCTGGAAGACCAGCCTCTCATCTCTCCTGATCAGAGACCCAGGCCAATCAAAGGGAAACTCAACAAGGAGCTCTCCTGACCTCATCTAAGCAAACTCAAATGCAGACTCGTTTGGCTGCAAACTTTGCAGACATCTGTTCTTTCAGACAGGTGAAGGCGAGAGTCTTACGTTTATTATGCTACCATTTATAGTAAGTTATCACTAGAACACAGGGATGCGTTCCAACTCAAACAGTAAGAGTCACCTCTCCTATTATAAAAAGGAAAAATAACACCCTAAGTGTCTAATGGTTTGTCATGCCTCAGATATTTCCATTACAAATTGTTTTTGAAATTCCTTGCTATGCCAAACTCATTGGAGACTCTAGAAGGAAATAAGAGGCCCTTACGTGCATGTTAAGAGGGTCCACCAGGTGTGCCGCGATGCTCATTTCATACTCGGAAAGTTTTACATTTTTCACACCAATTTGCTTCATTAGTTTTTCGGCCTGGAAAAAAAAAAGTATAGACGTAGACATTAAATGATTTCCTCCCATCTTTTCTTTTAAATAAGTCAGAAATGTGGGTTGTGGGTGGGGCACCTGGGAAGGCACAAAGAGCTGGGAGGCTTTCCCAGGCCCTTTCCCTCCCCCTCCCCTGGTGAGCCCCCAGGGCACAAGAAAGGTCACTGCTTCAATCTGGCCTTCCTTAGCCTTTCACCATCCCAGACCTGGGATATTTAAAGCAGATTCAAGTATCTGAGGATGAAAATGGTGAAAAGACAGAGTAGTGGGTGGAACTGAGGTAAGGCGGAGCAAATATCTTTGCTGGAAGGACGACTGACTCAGTCCCTTCTCTGGGCCACCCCAAAGGACTAGACCAGTCCGTCACTCAACAAGTAGTTATTAAGCATTTTCCTAGGCAAAAAGTACCGTGTTGACAAAAATGAAATGGTATGTCTCAGGAAGCTTAGACTTTAGTGGAGAAAACCACTTATAGAGGATCAGACAGACAAAAGCACTGAGCTAGGAGTGCTAAAGTCACAGCTTTCTGTGACTGAGGATGGGCTACACATGGCTGACAATGTTTCTATATCTCCTGGTTTCCTCCACTTAACTCCCTTCCCCAGTCTTGCCAACCACACAAAAACAACACACAAAAGGGGATAAAATCCAAAGTATACACAGTTTGACAAATGCCCTCGTGCAGAGGACTGAACTGATCCCGCCTCTCACCAGAAATAACCTTCTCCTGGGTCTGCTGCCTTCCCCAAAGCCCAGGCCCGGCCATATCATCCCTGCCCAGGGAGCTCCAGCTGCTCCCTATCTCTTCTGCTCCGCTGTCCTTATCTGTCCCCCGCCTCCATGCATTCTTCGGTGGGCCTGTGGTCTGTTCCCCACCTCCTGTCTTTGCACTGGCTGAACCTCACGCCTGAAACATTCTCTCCTCATTTGGCATCTTAGAACACCCGTCACCATCATGGGGGGATGTCTTGACTTGCTCAGGAACTGGATTTAAATGAGGCAGAGTTGCACAAAGTCGTCAGCCTCACTCTCTCTTCTTAAGTTAGGAAGACTGGTGATGGCTTGGCATACAGTGGACGACCTTGGCGTCTTCAATGTCTGACCAAGTTCTAAGCACTCCACAGTGCCTGCTTCAGTTGCCTCCATGGCTGTTGATACAAACCGTTCTCATCTGCCCATTCTGCTGGGGTAAGTCTTCACATGCTTGGGGCAGACACTCCCTAACTCACCGATGGGTCTGAGGCCCCAGTTACTCTCCACCTGGTTTAGCCCATCTGCCAAGAAGGTTCACCAGGGTGTGCCCGCTGCATGTGCTACAGCTTCTCAAAGGGAATTACAAAGTCACAATCCTGGGTCTGACGAAGGCAGACTCACTCACCCACCATCTTTGCAACTTTCTCTCTCACTACTGTCTCCCTCTGCTTCCAAAGGGCCTTTTCATCATGCCCTAAATGGGTTACATGTGTTCTCTGCCTCTCCCCGCCAATACCATTCCCCGGGTCAGCATGGCGGCATCTTCTCAGCTGGTCTCAATCAAGGCCCAACTCGAACCTCACTCCCAAGAAGGCACTGACACTTTCCACTCCACTTCTGTGACACTGGACGCTTGGCAAATGGCACTTTGTGTGACTATTTGTGTTTTCATGTACCTGTCCTGCCTTCTCCATTAGGCTGCAAGCCCCTTGAAGACAGGGGCCTAACCCGGTGCTGGCCTAGGAGCCAAGCCCAATTCCTGTGTCGGCTGTGTGATGCTGCCCTCGCTGTACCTCAGTGTCCTCCTCTGTGGAATGGAGATAGCAGCAGTAGCCCCCGTTCACCAGGGCCATCGTGAGGCATGCCAAGAGCCTGGTCTAGCAGCCAGGTTGTGTCACAGCCACAAGGCAGGCGTAGAAGACGAGTCTGTCCGTGAGGAGGGCAATTTAGACATTAATGCTTTTATTCAGCTGTTTTCCATTCTTCGGCCTGTGAAGGCCCAGAAGGCTTGTCCCCCATGCTTGGAATGGGCTCCCTTCTCCCCTCTTCCCCTTCAAACTCTGCTCAAGAGCCCCTCCTATGGGAAGTCTTTCTTGATTGCGCCCAGCCGGGCACTTACTTTGTATATACTTACAAGCGTAAGTCAGAGGGCAGGCAGCTCCTAGCAGGGCTTGGCACCAAGGCCCAACGAGTCACAGGCCTAAAGATATTTTCTGAGTCATCATTTCTGAGAGATGCATCATCTGAGAAACATCAGACGCTGGGGATGCCTCAGAGGCAGGAGCTGGGTTCTAGTCCCAAGTGATTTCATCTCTCAGAGCCTGAGGCAACACTCAGATGCGGCTTGGCATTCACCAGCAAAGGGAATCTCCTGCCCAGGAGTTCTCTCCACACGTGAAATCACCTATCTGGGTCAAAATAAAGCAAATGCTAAGCCTATTTTCTGGTGATCACATGACTCAAATGTCAACAGACTCAGGTCATCCTGTTCAAACAACCCTTATGGCAATTCAGGCCCTAAGATGAAACACTTATAAAATAAATAAATATAAAGCTAATGACCGGATAATGTAAATGCCTCAAGAAACAGGCAATTGAAGCTCAAGTTATTTCGAAATATGCATCAGACTCTTGGAGTAAAGTGGGACAGTAGAGTAACTGCACATGAAGACAGTTGCCTATTTATGAATAAATTGATGGGCACGGCATCAGACTGATGTCCCTAAAGAGCAGATGCCAGAGGTTCCCTCCAGGAGCAAACGAACATAAAATCCTCTGCTTGGCTGCTGAGCCTGGCCTGGCCCCTTCCTTGTTTTCTCCCGGCCTCCTCTGCAGGCACTCCTCATCCAAGCCTCGCCCGCTTCTGTCCTGCTCCCCACCTTGTCGCTGTTCCAGCTTCTGCACGAAGACTTTCTGGAGCCCCTTCCCCTCTGGGGGTTAGCTCCCTTCATCCTGCCTCTGGCCTGTTTGTACAGTTGGGCGTATGCTGTCTCCCCTATTAGAGTGGGAGCTCCTGGAGGGCAGGGGCTGTTTTTCCCTTTCTCTGGATCCCAGCACTTGGCACAATGCCTGGCACACAGCAGTGGCTGAAGGAATACTGACTAACTTGACACCCTGGGCTTTCAGGTGATTTGCTTCATACTTAAATTAAGGGTCTATGAACATTCCAAACTCCACTTTAGGTGCTCTCTGCTGCCCATTCTTCAGGCTGCAGGAAAGCACGGCCTCATTTCTTTTTCCAGTTAGAAATACAGCTGCATTTGAGTTAAGCCACAATTCACTGCAGAGAAGCCTAAAACCCACAGACGCCAGCGTCCACACCCTCAAATGGCCAGAGGAAAAGTTACTGCTTGGGATAAATCTACCTGGACTCAAAACCAGGGGTCTTCATCTTTCTGATGAAGGATGGACCCTTTATATCCATCAAATGGGGAATGGCTGAACTAGTTGTTGTATGTGAATGTGATGGAATACTATTGTGCTGTAAGAAATGACAAGCAGGATGAGCTTAGAAAAACCTGGAAAGACTTACATGAATTGATGCAAAGTGAAATGAGCAGAACCAGGAGAACACCGTACACAGTAACAGCAACACTGTACCATGATTAACTGTGAATGACTTAGCTATTCTCAGCAGTACAGTGATCCAAGACAATTCTGAAAGACTTATGATGAAAGTTGCTGTTCATCTCCAGAGAAAGAACTGGTGGAGCCTGAATGCAGATCAAAGATACTTCTTCCTTACTTTCTTTTATTCTTCTTGTTTTTGTTTTTTGTCTGTGTTTTCTTTCACAGCAAGACTTACATGGAAATGTATCTTGCATGACTACACATGTATGATCTATGTCACATTGCTTGCCTTCTCAATGGGAGGGAGGGAAGGGAGAGAATTTCGAACTTGAAATTTGAAAAAAGAATGAAAAAATTGTTTTTACATGCAATTCAGAACAAAAATAAATATTTTTAAAAATTAAAAACAAGATCCCTTTGGCTTTCAGCTGAAGCATATTACTGACCCTTTCTCAGAATAGTGTTTTTAAATAATTGGGGAAATGCTAAATTTCAGATCCAAGTTCATAGACCCTCCCCCCAAAAAAATCTCTCCACAGATCCCAGGTTAAAAATCCCTCCTTGCTACAGTACATTAAAACTAAATCACAAAATCAGGTTTATTGGTTATAACCAAAAACCAGCCACAGAACTGCAGCCTACAAAGGTTTATTTCCAGAAGTTTTTCAAAACAGACTTTCAAACCCAATTACGTCCACTATAACAGCAACTTAAATATGAGTAATATTGACTAAGACAAGCAGTCTAACCTCTTCAATAATTCCCTCAAGGCTAACTGGGAGGAGCATCCTAATCAGAAACCCCCGTTTTTAGTCTGCTGATCTTTTTTCTTTTCTCTTCCTTGAGAGTTACCAAACTCCCCTGGCTTTTCAGTGAAAGATGAAATCAAATATGAGACATCAATTATAAAGCAACGAGACAAAGACTAAAAACCATCATTTCCATCTCAGGACATTGAAAAAAGCACTCTGCATGAACAAAATTGATTCAAATACATCAAGAGACCCTATTAACTGGGAAGCTTCCCAGAAAATCTCTCAGATAAAGGCTCCCAGAGTCCTAGGATTCTGCACATTCACTGTTTCCTTATCGGGAATTAACACAGATTCTTCAGACCAAGAGCCTCTCAACAATGGATAAATGGTCAAAAAATAGTAACAACTCTCAAATGAGGAATCACATGCTCTAACAATCACGTGAAAGATTGCCTCAATTCACTAAGAAGAGAAATGCAAAACCAACCAACTCTAAGGTTTCACCTCACACCCAAAGCCTGAGTACAAATGACAAAGGAAGGAAGGGAGGGAGGGAAGAAGGGAGGGAGGGAGGGAGGAAGGGAGGATGCAGTGTTGGAAGGGTTACAGAAAACCAGGCACCGTAAGGTACTATGGGAGGAATGGTGAACAACTGATGGAGGAATGACCAATAACCATTCCTGAAATCAATCTGGAATTATGCTTTTTAGAAACTGAATAAATGTCCACACTCTCTAATCCAAAGTTCCCACTGTCACAAATGTTGTCAAAGACACAAAGAAAGGTCCCACATACACCAACACAGTCATAACTTCTTGTGAGGGCAATGAACTGGAAACAAAGGAGGTGTCCATCGATTGCGGAATGAGTACATTGCGGTCCGTGCGTGCACGTAACAGAATACTGCTGCAAGGTAAGAAATGACTCCTCTGCAGAATTCGGAGTCGCAGGGGAAGACTTGTATAAGCTGGTGCCAAGCGAGGTAAAGAAAACCAGGAGAGCAATGGGAGGAGAAAACACCACAGAATGTGGTGAATCAACCAGGGCTGACCCCGAAGGGGGAAGGAGGTAGTGTCCTGGACCAGGCGTGTGGAGGTGGAGGCCTGGTTACGTGCTGATTAAATCTGATGCCCAGACTTCCCCCAGGCGGAGGAATGGGGGTGGGGAGGGACATCTCTGGAAATGAAGAGATGTAAAAACAAAAGACAGCAATAAGAATATCTAAAAAGAAATTAATGAGATTCACCCAATGGGGCCCACTGGCTTCGAGTCATGCCCGGCACAAAGTGGTGCAGAGTTTGCTTTAACAAGAAGAAGGTCCATCCAACGGTCACAAGCCTTACCTGTTTCTGAGCTTCGACTTTTTGCTTCCTGGTCGGATCGATGGCATCTACCATCCACTTTATGGTAAAATACGTTACAGCACCAAATATCGTCAGACGGAAAATTAAACCAACAACTTCATTCCGACTCAGGGGACGAGAAAAGGCTTCAGCATGTACCATCTTGATTGTTAACCTGCAAATGAATGGAGGAAACATCAACGCAATAACAACAAGGCCAACAGTTAAGTCTGATTCTGGCCTGTGGAGAAACGAAGTATAATTTTTACTTTCCGCCACAAATCCACTGTTCCTTAAATTTATTTGTAAAATGACTGTGTTAAAGTAACAGATTTTCACATAGAAAGTACACCAATTTAAAGAACTACTTGGAAGCAAAAGCTCTTCCCCAATACAGAAGCAAAGGATAGAAACAAGCGATTCTCAACAGAATTGGAAACTATTAACCATATAAAATCCAAACCACAAATGTTCCGAGCAACGCCAATCAAAACAACCCTGAGGCCCACCTCACACCTACCTAATTAACAGCTAATATTTACACAGTGTTTTTATGGCCTGCTAAGCACTTTACAGGGCAGTGAGGCCACACGACAGATAGAGTGCTGGACCTGGGGTCAAGAAGATCTGAGTTCAAATCTGCCTTCAGACCCTGACTAGCTGTGTGACGCTGGGCAAGTCACTTAATCCGGTTTGCCTCAATTCCTCATCCTCCATCAGCACTGAGCTGGAGAAGAAAATGACAAACCACTCCAATACCTTTGCCAAGAAAACTCCAATTGGGAGTCATGAAGAGTCAGATACGACCAATGACTGAACAAAGCACTTTACAAATATAATCTCATTTGATCCTCCCAACAATCCTGTGGGGTAGGTGCTCTTATTATCCCCATATAACACATGGAGAAACTGAGACAGACAGAGGTTAAGTGACTTGCTCAGGGTCACAAAGCCAGATTTGAACTCAGGTCTTGCTGACTCCAGGTTCAGCATGCTAAGACAAAAGATAGACAAATCAATATTGGAGGGATTGCAGAAATGCACAGAATGCATGCCTGATGAAGAATGGAGAAAGCTTCACACCCTTTGACCGCTGCTAGGCATATCCCTCAAGGAGGTCAACGAGAAAAGGACTCCAAATACCCCCAAATATCTACGGCAGCACTTTTTGTGGGAGCACAGACCTGGGACCAAAGCTGGCACCCAAGGATGAAAAGCGCCTAAACAAATTCAGGCCCGTGAACGTGATGGATGAGCACGATGACGTCGGTCACTGGCCATTTATTTATGAAATGCTCGCTAAGTTCTGGGACTACCAAGAGAGGAAAACACAGCCCCTGCCCTCCAGGAGCTCATCATCCAATGGCGCACAACAGACCTATATATACAAGATCCAGACGGGGCACACAGGAGATAATCTCAGCAGGAAGGCACTAGTGGGGAGGGACATGAGAAAGGCCTCCTGTGGAAGGGAGGACTGCAGGGAGCCCCGAAAGAAGCCAGGGGGGCCAGGAGGCAGAGCAGGGGAGGGACAACTCTCAGGATGGACAACCAGGGAAAGACCAGGATCAGGAGAGGCGTCCTGGCAAAAAACTGCAAAGGTCATTGATGCTGGACCATCAATGAATAGAAGCCAGTAAAATGCAGAGTCAGAGAGGCAGGAAGGCACCAGCTCATAATAGGCTGGAGATAAAAGCAGCCGCTGGAGTCTGAGTAGGAAGGAGCATGACGTGGTCAGGCTATGTTGGGAAGTCAGCTGAGCAGAGCATGGACAAAGCAGGGAGAGCCTGGAGGCGGGTAGACCTCCCAGCATGCTATGGTCAGAGGCCAGACGAGATCATTTGTTTGAATCATTACATCAAGGTTTGTTTAAAATTTTACAAAATCATTCTACCTAGCAGGGCCCATGCCAAACTGGAATGGCCAAGTACAGGCACACCTGGGTCCATCTGCTGTCCAAGGGGCCACTAAGCTAGTTCAGAGGCTAAAGAATGACGCAGCCTTTGGCCAGCGTGATTCTCACAAATGGTCTTCCGAGTCACAAGGAGACTGTCTTCTGGGTCAAGGGAGGGAAATGCCAGCAGTGAGTGAAGGACACCCCCCAGGTATGAGCTCAGCTGACAAATAGCATGGCCATCATTCCCAAAGGAGAAGCCACCAGGGATGATCCAGCACTCGGAATTCTGTCTTTGCCAAGGGAAAGACCCCCATGATCAGGAATCCGTCCACTCAACAACTCAGCCCTATATACACGATGGGGTGGTGGAGGGTGGAAACACACTAAGCATTGGATGACAGAGAAGTGTCCCATCGACATGGGGCTGTGGGGGAGCTGCCCAGTCATGAAATAGGAGGAGCAGAGAGGGCCCTGCTGTGGGAAGGCTTCCTGGAGCAATCCCACCTGAAGTGAACAGGATGACCAGACCTGGGAGGCAGGAGATGGCCAGGAGCGCTGGCAGCACCAACAGACAGCATCAATGGAGGCAGAAGAATCGAGAGAAGCTGGCGGACCTCGGCCTCCCGCCTGCAAAGGGCAGCTGGGGCCACATTCCCAGGCTCAGAAACCGATGCCTGGCTGCCTCTGCTCACAGAGCCCCCCGTATGTGCGTGCCATGGATGACGAAGGCCAAGGATCCCTCTATAACTGAAGGAAACGCTAGGTTCCAGCTAGAGGCAAGCGAAAATGAAGATGGGCAAGGCTACCCCATCCAAGTTCACGGATGCCTTAAAATCCATCCAAGGACACCACGGGCTGATGAACCCCAGGCTCAGAAGCCCTGCCTGAGAGGCCAGACAGTCCAAGTCCTTTATTTTATAACCAAGGAAACTGGTGTTTGGAGGGGTCAAGGCCAATGTCACCGAGGCAGCAAAGTCCAGAGAGGAGCCCCGAGTTTTTCACTTTTCACCAGCCAAGCAGCTCTGGAGAGGCTGGACTGGAGCAGGGAGAGCTCAGCCACGGGCACAACACGCCAGCCAAAGCCTGCCAATCCCCAACTCGTCTGAGGGCACGCCTGCCTCATGATACTACTCAAAATGGCCCTGGAAGCCACGGTTTTCTTTCCCAACCCATGTCCCCAAGTGCCTTTCTCTTCTCCCACTCATGGCTACGCTCCTCTGAGGGACCCCTCCACCCCTTTCCTCCACTCCCACACGACGACCTGAGGAGCCCTGTCCTGGTAACAGGGATCTCAGGTGCTCAATCCAATGCCATTCTCCATTACGTCTCTACAGCTTTTGACACTACTGACCGCCCCCTTGTCCAGATCCACTTTTGTCCTTATCTCCTGGGACCCTGCTCCCTTTTAGTTTGCCTTCTGTTTCCTCACTCTCCTTCACGGAAACATTTGCCATCTCCCTGCCCCCATATGCTGCGACTCCTCCAACCTCTTCTTTCTCTTTTCCCTCTATAGCCTATCTGCCATACCCAATTCAATTATCTCTACAAAGATGAGTCTTAAGGATAGATGGATAGTCAGATGCCAGATGACCCCAATCTGTGTCTTCTGAATTGCAATGCATCACTGCCAACTACCTGCTGTCCCTCCTCAGCTGGATGTTCCATTGGTACCTCAAACTCAACTTGTCCAAAATGGAACCTGTCCCTTTTCCCGATGCCCTGATTTCTACTGATGATATCGTTATCATCCTAGTCACACCTAACACTAGCATCACAGTAAATAATTACAAACTGTTTACTAAATCCTTGTTAACTCAACCTCCCAACCCACCACTCCCAAATCCCAATTGGTGGCCAAACACTATAGAACTGCCTCCACATTCCTCACTGCAGAACCCTTTCACCTCCCAACTTGGATGACTGTACTAAGCTCCTAACTGGTCTCGCTGTCTCTGGCCACTCCTTTCTCCAATTTGTCCTCCGAGTTGTTGGCAAAAGAATCTTCCTCTGATTGAGCTCAGTACTCTCCATCACTCCAAACCAGAGACTCTGGTCTCTGCTGCTGTGGGAAGAACACTGGAACTAGAGTTCGGCCATCGGAGACCAAATCTGGCTCTGCTCCTCGCTACCTGGTGCTGGGCAAGGCCTGAGCCTCTCTGGGCCCAGATGACCTCTCCATCCCCTTCAGCTCTCAATCTACAAAGGGCACATGCTATTCTCTACGACCAATACAACGGATCTCCCGTGTCTAAGTACGAAGATACAGAGCTCCAAGAAGACATTTTCCTGCTTTGATCCAACTCTTCATAAGCTTCTCTTCCAGGCATAAGCCCAATCACTTCTGAAGCAGAAACAGACCTTCTTCAATGACCATAAACAAAAAGAGAAACATGTTTCTATTTGCTGAGAAAAGTCACAACTAGCCAGTGTTTTATGGGGTAATTAACCCACTCAGCATGGAGGTCTGCCCACCTTCCTGCAACAGAAGTCCACTTCTATCTGGCCCACTCTTAGAGTAGGCCCCTGAGACAAACGGCCCAAGTTAGAAAAGAATTGACTCTTGGTGTGCAGGCCCACCAACACGGGAAGAGAGAAACAAAGAGACAAGCACAAAACCGCCAACCAACTCTCATGACATTATTATATCATGCAATGACTTACACTACTTTGTTATAACACCTTCAGGGTCCTCCACCCCAGGCCTGGTAGCCTCTCCCAATTCTTTCACTTCACACTAAAAGCCCTCGACCGGCAACACTCAATTTACAACCTGCATACAGCATTCCTAAAGTGACTTATTGGGCAGCTAGGTGGCACAATGGACAGAGCACTGGGGCCAGAATTGGGAAGACCTGATTTCAAATCCAACCTCAGACACTCACTAGCTGTGTAAGCCTGGACATTTAACCTGTCTACCTCACTTTCCTCAAATACAGCCCAAAGTAGCACCTACCTCCTAGGGCTGCTGTGAAGATAAAATGAAATAAAGCCCGTAGAACAGTGCCGAGCACATAATAGTTGCTTAATGAATGCTTTTTTTCTTCCTTCTCCCTCACAGGTTTCCGTTTTCTATCTCCCCCAAAAGGTTTTAGAGAGCTATTATGAGAATCCAATTGCCATCATTCAAAACATTGTTTTTATGAGAAAATATGTTCCAAATTTTAAATGTGAAATTGAGAAAGCTATTCCAAGTTGGAAAATGCTTGAATTTAATAATGAGAAGAGTTCTATTCACTTCCCAACTATTCTACACTTGCAAGCCTAGGTTTGGTTCTCTT